TTTCCCTCGGTTAAGGCCAGCAATCTTGTTTGCTCCAAGTGCCTACGTGACATGCTGTTGTTTTTCTAGGAGCAGTACATTTTTATTCATGATGCCTTGTTGGAAGCCATCCTTGGGAAGGAGACTGAAGTATCTGCAAACCAGCTGCACAGTTATGTTAACAGCATCCTCATACCTGGCATAGGAGGGAAGACGCGACTAGAAAAACAGTTCAAGGTAAAGCTTATCACGGGCATCCAGAGGGACTCAATTCCCCCACTCCCTGTTGCGTGGTGTGCCTTCGCTGTCTATAGCCAGAGATAAGGAACCAAACCAGAGCCCTTGATTAGCGCTGCACAGCTTCTGGAGAAGTTCAGTGTACAACAATCTTCATTACACTGCTGGAAATCAGCACTAATCCTCTTGAAGTCAAAGGCAAGAAGAGGAAATGGACACTGGTCTGAGCGTGCTGCTGCTCTCCCCTTTCTGAAGGGGCTCGGACGTTTCGGTGGGTGCAGTGTGCTTGGCCGGAGGTCATCCTCCAGGCTGCCTCTCTCACACCGATCTGTGCAGAAACAAATGAAATGAGGCTCTTCGCACCACTTACTATTATCAGCACTGCAGATACAGATTTAAAAATGTTCTGAGACTAGGGAAACACAATATGCCTTTCTCACTGCTAATAGCTATACTTGCTGCTTTTCCCTACCATGTTATAGCTGACTGTCGTCCTGGCCAAAGTAAAACTTTTTGCTCTTTTCTCCTATTTAAAACCTAAGATTTTCTGGCTGTGTTTTATTTAAATGCATTTAAAGCTCTTTTGTGCTACTGTGTAGCATAAGATTATACATGAAGTCCGTCTGCACAGTTAAACTCAGTCAGTCAGTAACCGGCTAAGGAACTGAAACTGTTAAAACAAATTATGCCAGGTGCCAAACTATTCAAAAAATGAATAAGCTATTTTCTCAGTTCACTTGTAAAAATCTCATTGCTTCTCTGTCAGTCAAGACATTCCAGATGCTTGATTACGAAATTAAAGAAACAAGCATACACACACACACAAAATGCAGCAGGAGAAAAAGATTTGGTACAAAAAAAATGTTGCATTTCTTTTAAGAAAAATACTAAGTTATACATTCAAAGATATTTTCTGACGACTTGGGGCAAAATTTCAGAAACCTAAGAGCCATTTTCAGAAATTACTTTGCCAGAGTTGCACAGGCATTTAGAAACCCCACAACTTCCAATGGGGCTTATGCCAGTAGTTGGATGAATGCTTTCTTGTTTAGAGTGCATTTGAAACTAGAACTAAGTAAGGATGTGGCCAGCAGCAATTATTAAAATGTTCCCTAGTTTCTGCTGCTACCACAAAGTTGGCAGAAAATAACTTGTACTCATGCCCTCGTGCAGCAGTTTACATTTAACTGTCTTAGTGTAAAATTACGCTGAGTGTGAGTTTCTAAAAGTGCAGGAAGCCACCTCCACCCTCCTCGCTCCGGTAGAGTTTCCCCACGGACTAGGGGAGGAATATTCCAATACAAATCTGTCTCCCTGACTTTTCTTTGCGCCTCATAAGCAGCCCAGGACGAGCTTGGCAGACGAGAGAACGTAACCCACCGCCTGAGCTCTCGGATGCTCATGTGCCGAGTTCCCAGAGGCCTGGCAGGAAAAGACATTCTGCAGGAGTCATCTTGCTTTTACTTTAAAAGAAAACAGAGAAGGGTTGTTGTTGTTGTTTTATTTTACTGGCTTTTCCTCCTTGAGACCTGCTTCTGAGTGAACATATCTGCAAGTCTTTGAAATATATTGTCAAAGATAACTAAATGTAGTGTTCTGTGAAAGTGCGTTTTGATAGAACTTCATTCTCAGGAAGTTTCGAAGCCGAGAGCTGCAGAGATCTTTTTATCCATTAAACGTACTGTATGAAAAGGGTGATTTCCATTGGCGTCTTGAGTACTTTAAACAAATTTAACAATGCAGTTTATTCTTCCACTGATATACATCTTCCCAGGAGCTGGCAAAGAAGCCTCCTCTCTTCATTGAGAGCACCATGAGGACTGACTTACTACTTTATTCTCTTTCAGCTGGTTACACAGTGTAATGCAAAATACGTAGAATGCTTCAGTGCTCAGAAAGACTGCAACAAAGAGAAGAACAGGAACTCATCAGTCGTGCCATGTAAGATCACATCTTCGGTTTGATTACTGCCTAGCATAACTTTTTGTACTGAATTCTCCTTGCGTTATGCATGAAAAAGCATGGTCACTAGGAAGGAGAAATACAATCTTTTGTTCCGACCCAGCTGTCTTGTCTTTCAGAATTACTCTGATGAAACTGAACAAAAGAAAATAGTTAAGGTATCAGCCAGATACACTGTCCAAGTGAAATGTTAATTTGAAGTGCTTAAGAATTTGAATAGTTATTTAGGGAGGTAAATCTAAGGAATAGTGAGAGAATTACTGTGATACAGCTCCCTGCTCAGGTGAGATCTCCCAGTGTGACTGAAACAAACAACTGAAGTTGTTTGCAGTTCAGCTACTACTACCAATTTTCTGCGTGTGTGTGTGTGTCTGTCTGTCTGTCTGTCTTGGTGGAGCATGGTAGGCCACTGTATCTCAGCCTTCCCCAGATGAGGGTGTTGAGTGCCCAAGGCCATAGTTCACAGTCATTAATTTGGCATCTGTGCGTGACCTGGTCGCCCAGCAGCGTGAATTTGCTGCAGACCAAGCATGGGCACGGTGTCATTTCCATCCGATTACCCAGAGCACCGGACAGATACCAACTGGCACAAAATTATAAACAGCACAGATCTGGGCCATCATAAAGTTTGCTGCGAAAAAGGGAAGCCATCAGAATATAGCTTGCAAACGCGAATGGGCAGAATGAGTCTCTACGACTTTGCAGTTTGTGTCAGGTAGCTGCAGGGGTTGTGGTTTGGCGTGAGGAGCCTGTCAGTTGGTTCCAGGAGGTTGTTGAACCCAGTCCTCAACTCCAGAGTAGTGTAGACCTGCTGGAGAACAAGCACACGCTTCTGGGTGGTTACCCGTTTGGCAAGTTTTTTCTCTGTAGAGGTTATCTCACCCTCCAGCTGGGAGAAGTGAGTGATGGTAGTGCTGCCGAGGGGTAGGGAAAACAAAATAAATCAGCTGGGTTTGTGTGCTGCTGGAGACAAATGGAACGCTGCAGTCAAGTATTACCTGAAATCCCCTGTTATCACTGCATACACTGTCATTTGGTAATTCAGCCTGCTGTGAAAATCTTTGCTATAGTAAAATTTGATTCCTGAAATTACTTTGTCCTTGTGGGAATATTGTGCAACGTTCTCTTTTTATATCCTGTGTTAGTAGGCAATGCTTTAACACGGTTAAAGTGCTGGTCTGCTCCTGGGGGAGATGGGAGCTGCGCAGTGTTTGGTTTGTTAACATCTGAGAAATTCTTGCTTTCTGCATTGTGCCATTATCAGACTTTGATTTTTTTTTTTTTTTAATCTTATAGCTGAGCGTGCTAGAGTGGGCTTGGCACCACTGCCTGGAATGAAGGGAACTGATTACATTAATGCCTCTTATATCATGGTGAGGAAGCCAACACCTAATTACAAAGTAAAATCAATTCTAAGGTGCTAAATACCAGATGCCTGTAATTGTCTTAATTCTGTATGTAATGGCTGTGTATTAACAGATGAGATTTTAACACCTTCCCCGTAATGTAAAGCAGTATTAACAGTGTTTTATTAAAGATTGTTGCCTGAAAAAATTAAATACAAGATGCATTTATGTGGAATTCATATTTCCATGAAATACAGACAAGTAAATACTGGGATTTAGAGTAAATGAAAACAACAGGGACTCTGCAGAATGGAAATTGAGTTAGAAAATTATAGTTTGTGTGAAAATATTGTAGAATAAAATGAAATAGGGTCATTATCAGTCCCCATAGATGAAATTAATGCTTTAAGAGTACTTAGGGCAGCAAGTAACTGTGTGGTTTGTTTTGCTGCAAAAGGGCTACTACAGGAGTAACGAGTTCATCATAACCCAACATCCGCTGCCACATACGACTAAAGATTTCTGGCGAATGATTTGGGATCACAACGCACAAATCATCGTCATGTTGCCAGACCACCAGAGCCTGGTGAGTTAAACGCTTCCCTCCCTCTTCTGTAGGGTTATTACTTAGCCCAGCAGGGCACTAGCATAGGGTCACTTAGTTACATGCTATTACTGTTTTCTAGTTGAAAACCAGAACATTTTCAGAATTTTTGAGCCACCTTCTCAAACTTTGCCGTAAGCTTAGTAAGACAAGTTCCTAGGTTCAGGGCCTGTTTTCTGCACTCCCCTTCTGACCTTCCCCCTCGGGAAGGACATCCTGAACTGCAGCGAACAGGAAAGGACCACAGACTTCTGCAGCAGCAGGCCAGTGGGGACAACCTCTGTGAAGCTCCTGTGGGTTACCTATCTGGCAGGATGTAAAGCACTGAGGTTGCTGGGTGCCAGGGCCATGGGTAAGGACCTTGAAAGGAACAGAAATGCGAAGCAGAGACAATAAGGTAGCTGCTTATTTGCTTGGGTGCTTAAGGCTAAGCCCATACAGGGCTAAAGCCATGCAAGATTTCAAGTGTTATTTCTAATGTAAGCAAAAAAGCAAATGTGTGTGTTGATTTAAGTGGAAATAATGAGATAAAGAAAGAAGGTGACTCAGGTGAAGCGCTAATCACTACTTCCAGATTTACTAGCATGTCTCAAGAGTGTGTGTTGAAAAGGATTAAGAAGTAAACAGTTCATTTTCCTGTGCATGCATCATTGAGGTGAATAAACGATTGTAGCTGAGAGTGGTAGAGAAACCACCTTCATTACAGTCATGAGGGGCTACTGAAGAGGCAGGAGTTGATACTCTTCCTTGTGTGTGGTGAGATGAAGGGGACTGCAGGCACTGCAAGGCAAAGAGCTTTCAGAGAAATACAATTGAACCAGAAGGCACCACTGAAATGAAAGCGCACTGGGTGGAAACGAAGAGGCTGATCTTGTCTGTACAAGTGTATGGAATAGCTGTGGAGAACAGTAGTGATGGAAGTGTAATGGAGGAGTGCTGGCCTCGGCCAGATCCTTTGCAAGGGTGCCTTGCACCTAGTTTGACCTTCGCTCTGCTCAGGGTGAAGGTTGGCTAGCCAGGCAGTAGCATCCATGCAGTGGCTCAGTGTCTGGTGTGGGTTATGTTGATTGGTAAGGAGGGATGGCACAGGACTGAGACCGTGTCAAGGTGCTGAATGCGTAATGCGAAAGGACGAGATGGTCATGCCGACTGCCTGCTACATGAGGATCTGTCACCTTGAAGGACAGAGACCTTCCATGGCATTCAGCACTATTATTACCCGTTTGGTGTCACCTCTGCAGGCAGAGGGCAGAATTTTTGAAGTGCTCAGGGGACTTAGGACCCCAAGTCCTGTTTTCAGAAGGAAAGGTCTGAATCTCAGCAGTGTCTTGCACATTATGTGCATTGAGTCTCCAGGCCCACAGAGATGAGCCTGTTTGCAGAGACATGCTCATGGCCACAGAGGGACAATGCAGGTAGCTCATGCGTTTTCAAGACAGTAAAACACAGAGTCTTCAGAGACACAGCCATGCAGTGCCACGCAGGCTGTCGGGTTAGCTTCTCTTCTTATGCTGCCTGGACAGGATACCTCTGGAGCCAGGAGGAGAAACAGTCTTTGCATGTATGTGGTTACAGAGCCTAATTTGCTTTCTCGACAGTAATGATCAGAATCCACGGTTGCTTTTTAAAGAATAGTGTTGACAGTATGTTATCAGTACCCCATCACTTAGTAAGGCTACTTCAGCACTGAGCTTTTATTCCCATTCACAGTCTCATTGAGAATTTATAGTGTCATAGTGTTTTCATTAGAGTTTTGTTGGAGAACTTGCATTAAGGTAAGCCAGTGTTTTTCTCAAGATTAAGAACATTTCCTCCTCACTCCTCCCCTCATTTCTTAAAATTCAGCCCCTTCTTAGAGTGTCCATCAGTCTTCTGCCTAGACCGATCCACAGAGCTTCTACTGGCACCCTTGAGTTTTGGGTTAGACCACAATAAATACAAATTAAAAATAATAAGCAATTAATTTTTAAAGGTCAGTGCATTTTTTCTAAACAGATAACTGACTTTCATGCAAAACTGTGTAGGCAGGAGGTGGTAAAGCCTGGGATGTAATACAAAAGGTTAAGCATGAGCAAGCTAAAATAGCCATTTCCCTGTGAAACCAATTAAAAAGCAGACATTACCAGTTTGGGCACACAAAAGAAGGATCTGGTAGGCTTACTGAGTACTGTAATAGTAAGCCTGTTTTAGACATAAATGGTTTTTAAAGGTCAGCTTCTGATTGTCTCTGTTTATCAAACCAATTTTTTGATCCACTGGATTTTCCAGTCACACTTACGGTATCTGAAAGGCTACAGGATGTGTGTTGTTTCTTTCCTGCAGGCAGAAGATGAGTTTGTGTACTGGCCAAGTCGTGAGGAATCCATGAACTGTGAGGCCTTTACTGTGACCCTTATCAGCAAAGACAGACTGTGCCTCTCTAATGAAGAGCAAATTATTATCCATGACTTTATCCTTGAAGCTACCCAGGTAAAATAAACCCCCAAATGCAGGCTTTGGCTTTTCTCCAAAATGCTATTGATGTTATTTAAGCATAGGAGAGAGAGAGTTTAGAAAGAGTCTTGAAAATGATTTACTTGTAAATGCATGTTTGTGTGTGTGTTGTTCACTGGGGGAAGAGTGTTCTTTACTGGCACCTTCTCCTTCTGCCATCTTCTGCATCCAGGTATACACCAAGTTTTATTGTCCTATTTCTGCTTACAATATTCAGCATTTATAGATTAATTGTTTTGCAAAGATTAAGAGGTTTTACTTAGAGAAGTACATTTCTTTTGAGCTACAAGTCTGCTTTTAGTTTGATATCAGGACTGCAGCTGCATTTTTCTGCAAAACAGTAGTTTGCAAGCCCTTTTTAATTTAGTTCCTTTAGTTGCTCTTCTCTTGTTTGACCTTTGAGCTGTAGGGGCTCTGAGAGAACATGTATATGGATGTAAGCCCTGAACTGAAATACAAAATCATTTCCAATTTTTTGTTATAGGTGTTTTATTTTAGGGTGTTCACTGTTACAGAGGTACTAGAGCTGTGCATCTTTCTTCTTCTTTGTATGCAAACCTCTTTGGAAGAGGAACGTATCTCTTCAGTTTGTAGCAACATCGTGCTTTCTACCTGGAGTGGATGAATGTGCAACTGTAGCAGCTAATACTGAGGGTGTTTTTTCATTTCAGGATGACTACGTTCTGGAAGTCCGCCACTTTCAGTGTCCTAAATGGCCAAACCCAGATGCTCCTATAAGCAGTACCTTTGAACTTATTAATGTAATCAAGGAAGAGGCCTTAACAAGGGATGGCCCCACCATAGTTCATGATGAGTACGTCATCTCTTTTCTCCCATTTATATGTAGGCTGTAAAAAGAGTTACTCTGTTATGGGGTAGTGATCAGGATTAATGTCCGTTCTTGCAAGGAGTCGGTGGGGTTTGGTGGCCTTAACAACAGGATCACGGTATTTAAGCTTCCTGAGGTGAGGTATCCATTGGCACCTGAGGCCAGATACTTTTTTTTTTTTTTAGTGTAGTTTATTATATTGGTTCTAGTCTTTCCAGATGGACTCAGAAAGTCAGGCTGTGTCTGCTTTGTAAGTGTTTTGGGTTCTTCTCTGCTTGGAAGCTTCCCAAACAAATTCGACAACCAATTTAAAAAATCGGTAGAGCTGTGGTTTAGATCATAAATACTTTGAGAAGCCCAATATGGTCTTCTGGAAACCTGAGCTCCTGTCTAACAACTCAGGTCTAATGTGCCACATAAAACAAGGAACAAGCTCAGCTCAGCTGTGTCTCAGGGTGATTAGGAAGTGTGTCTTGTGACAAAGAGGCCAGGTTTTCTTAGAGCAGATCTGTTTTTCTTCCTTCTGCTCCCCCCTAAACCACTCCAAGGGGCCCATGTGGTGCCAGGCATGAGGGAGGGAGCCCACCAACACAGGGCCAGCATGCGCCAACACTCGTCTCTTTTGTAGAGCTGTGGTGTTCATTGTCTTGCCAGCTATGCTTGAATGCCCAATTATAAAGAGCGCTAAATATTGCATTGCATACGATATCTTGCCCTGGCAGGCAGAAAGCTCCCTGGAGTTGTTCTGTCATTAAAATCGTGAGCAAGCCCATTTTCTGTCACTAGTTGAGTTGTTCACCTTGGAGTGAACACCGAGCCTTTGTAAACAACTGCTACCCGCTCTCAGCCCCCGCCCTCAAGTCCATTAGAGCTTTGCCATTGCTACAAAGTAGACAGCATTAATGGGAAAGTCTTAGAAATCTTCACCTTTGGTGCCAAAATGTTATTACTGTACTCTGGTATTTCAGTGGTCAGATCAGCCTTGGGGCTGATGAGAGATTGTGTGCTGATATCTGCCTTTGCTGAAAGCTTTTGCTTCACGTCAGTGTATTGCTGCAGCAACAGGTTTTTCCCAACAGACTCCTGCAAGTGGTGCCTGGGGCTGCAGCAAGTAGTTTTTCTCGCAGTTTCCTGCCTTGCTAATGCACAGTGTAAGCTCTGCTGGCTTTTGCCAGCATTTATTAATTCCTGTCTAGTTTTAATATTCATGCTTTGGGTAGTCTGAAGTGAGGTTTTGCTACTCTTGCAGTATTTAAGATTATGTTTTACAAAATTAGAACCATTATTGATTTGGGCACTTCATGCTAGACCAAAAAAAAAATCAGAATTGCATTTCTAACAGTGCTGAGTCATTCTTTCTGTAAATTGCTTTTTTGATTTATTAGTCATATTCAATGATTTTTATTTTTATGCCTAAAACATAATGTGGATTCTGCTTTTCATTGGAGCCTAAGCAAATGTAGCTGAAAATGAAGATTTCCCTTTACTATATGCAACAACTATATCACATAATCCACTAATAATTACAACTGCAGATTAATTCCTAATATATGGATTTGCAAATACTAAATGCATGTGGTATTTAGGAAGTACATGGTGGGATGACTTGATAACAAAACATTTCCAAGAGTACGTTCAGAAAGTCCTACTAGAGACAATTGTACTGAATACTACAAACTTAAAGTCAAGTATTTGAAATATAGTTGTCCATATGTAGACAACTAGACAAAGATTTGTTGCATCATTTGCAGAGAGAAAAGCGTTCAGATGGTTGGGAGCTGAAGGTAATCAACCTCAGTAAAAAACAGGACATTAGGCCCTGAGAGGCATTTAGATGTCCCCAATCAGGCAAAGTCCACTTTGTCCGTATCAGATGACCAGTCACGGCCGTCTGTGTAGCTCTGCAAGAGCCCTGCTTCTTCTTCTGTGTACTTTTCATCAGGTAGAGCAGAGATCCATTGCGATCAGATTTCTGTTTCCCATTTGTAGGCAAACTGAGCTTGCAAAAATCATATGAAATCAAGACAGCACGTGTCTTGATTTCTGCCGAAATCTTGTAACAATACTAGTGGTAGCCTTACTATACCAGATGGCGTTGCGGTACTCACCGGTCATTTAAGTTTCCGTGCGCAGTTCTCCAAACAGTTTACAAAGGAAGTCGGCGCCGATGCCCCTTTCACAGATGGGGACGTTTAGATGCAGCCTTGCTGCAGGTCACAGAGCAGACCCATAGCAAAGCTAGGACAGGAGTTCAGTCTCCTGAGGGCTGGGAGAATAGAGTACAACTGTGGCTCCTCAGAAGCAGTATGAGCCCCTCTTGCTTGGGACCTTTTGTCAGGCGCCCCACAACTGCACTTGTGATTCAAACATGCCTTCAGGGATTTGGATTTAGCAGCAGTAGGATTTTTGCCTGATCACCATCTCAAGGACACACTGTGAGTCATTCTCCGGACAAATAACCGTTGCTCAGGTTCTTACTAAACGACAGCACGGCTCAACTTATCAGAATCTGTAATGTCTCTTGGGCACCCAGCTCAGGAACGTTGCGTTCTGCCCATGAGTCAGCGCTAAGGAAGACTTTGAGATGTGTCCCGTTTACTTGTAAGGAGCTCGTGTCTGTGTTAGTTGTATGTAATTGTCAGACATGGAGGAAGAGGCGAAGTCTCATTTCTTTGTAATAGTTTGTGTTTTGCTTGAGCTCCCACAAATGCATTGTAAAGTACACTGAGCTATAATGCAGATGCTTTCGGTGCATGTGAAGCCTGACTGCGGGAGCGTGCTCTCCAAGCTGGGTATTTTTAAATGGCTCGCATTATTTTGGTGCTCCAGTTCTTCCTATTGAGACCTGCAGATATCCGGAGATGACTCATATACCACCAAATTTCTTTTTTTAATTAAAATGACTAAAACTTTAGCTAGCATAAAACAGAGCTTTTAACAGATATAAAGACGAGCAGCAGTAATCAGATAAGACTGTATCGACGTTTTCATGGCTCTGTGTCAGGGTGCCCAGGTTTGTTTGTGAGTACCTTATGACTGTGGTGTGGTTTTTCAGGTATGGAGCTGTGTCGGCAGGAACGCTGTGTGCCCTTACCACTCTGTCCCAGCAGCTGGAGAATGAAAATGCTGTCGATGTTTTCCAGGTGGCAAAGATGATAAATCTTATGCGGCCTGGAGTATTTACAGACATTGTAAGTCCTTAAATGGAACATAAGTTGGTAGTTTACAAGGTTTTTGTCTGAGACAAAAAGCATGAACTGAAACACGTATGCAGATTTGTGTACATTATCAAGCCTTGTTGCTTCTGTTACCAAGCAGAAGTTGCATCTGGCCTTTTTTTCTATTGTCATTTTTTATAGCCCTCCACCCCACTCAGTCTCTGATGTACAATTAAGCTTATTTCTCATACAGTTAGGCCACTGTACGGATACGGACAGCCCTGGCCTTTCAGCTTGTCACCATCTCCCTGCCAGCCCTGTAAATTAATATCTGCTATTTACACTTGGTTTATTTTGATCTCAAGCAGTGGAGGCAGAGCTGAAGGGGGATAAAGCTTCAACACGAGCCTGCGCTCTGCGTGCAGAGAGCAGCACCCTTGCCCCCACGTGCATGGCGCTGCCTGCACTAGGGAACGAGCCCGGGCTGAGATACAGGCTCGGATACTCTCCTGCACTCTCTGTCTTGTTTAAGCACTAGTCTCCAGTGCAGTACAGTTTTGGCCCCACTTGTATTCTCCTAAAAATGTCCAAGTAGGCTGAGGGCACAGCATGGACCAGGGCTTGTTCCCAGGGGCAGAACAGGCCATGCCCCTTGCCTCTTTCTCTTTGCTATATACCCAGCCTGGGGGTCCTTTGCAGAGATAACCCCAAAGCTGACTTTGGCCGTAACACACCGACCGCTTCGGATACCTTTGACCTGCCGACGCTATTTAGAATCGTCTCTAGACGAAGCCTGGGAATCAAGAAGCTGTAAATGGCTCCTTGGCGCTGTCCGCATCCCTCCTCTTAGAATTTAAGCCAACACCTGATTTAGCCTATTTATGCATTCAGAACCTGTACGTGCAAAAGTGATAAAGGTATTGACCCACTGACTTCATTATGTAAAATGATTGTACGTATAGCATACATGGCTATTTGAAATCAACCCGATAATGGAACAGAGAGGGAAGTAGTGCAACTGGAAGTATGCCATTCTTGCTGGTAAGTTAGTGTAGTGACTTTTGAGGTTTATTGCAACATGCTGTTTGGTATCTTATGTTGCATACAAGGTGTACTTCCGGCCCTTCTGCAGTATCCTTGTAGTGTCAGTGGAAATACTTTATTTTCCCTTCAGTGGGCAGTGAATCAGGAATAAAACAATCTACCAAAACTGGAGATTTGGGGTGACAGTATTAAACTGGATTAACATATGTCATTACTCTCTAAATATTTTTCCTTGCTGTATGTATGCTTGTAGTAATGATGCATTTTATTATGTACAAAATGAGAAAGAACAGTGCTTCGTATTCTGTTACGTCTTACTGCCTTCTCAGGGAAGTAACTTTTATTTGCTATGCCCTCAGGAAATGGGAGGAATGTAATTTATTTAGATTCTGTAGTTTACTGACATCAGTGGTGTCCGTGTGGAGAAAGCAACAGGAGGAAAGTAAATATTCTGTAAGCAATATGAATACTTGGCATCTTGACTGTGAAGCATGTGTTTCTGAGTATTCTCCATTACTGTATTTCTGTACCATGTCAGATGGCTGCTTTGGTGCTGTTGATATTAACAGCCTGGAACATTTTATATGAAATGATTTTTTGTCTTTCTCCAAGTATCCATGACCTAGCTGGGAAATGCCAAATTTAAGTGCCACTCACTTTACATATCCTGAAAGTTTTGCAATAAGTTGTCCTTTCTTTTCCAGGAACAGTACCAGTTTCTTTATAAGGCAATGCTAAGCTTGGTCAGCACTAAGGAAAATGGAAACGGTCCCATGACACTGGACAAAAACGGTGCTGTGATGGCCAGTGATGAATCGGATCCCGCGGAAAGCATGGAGTCTCTTGTCTAATTGGAAACCTGAAAAGGCACTTAATTTGTAGAACTTCTGAAGACTGAGTGAACTTTTTTGAGGCCTTTTTTGCCAGACTCTAGGTTATACAATAACCCAATTACTTTTTTACACTGATAAAAGTTTTGATATTTATTTTTTGCCATTTTATGTCTTAATGGTATCCTACTGAGCATTTGCACCTCTGTTTATTTCACACAGTGAAACGCAATTTTATCTAGTTTGCACTATATGATCAGTGTTACTGCCTATAATAATCTAATACAAAACAAGCCCTGATGTGACATTCCATGACAACAAACATACGCTTTTTTGTTTTGTTTAAATGCGGTGAAGTTTTGCTAACTACAGTGACCCTCAAATCTTAGATCTTGAATGCTAGGCCAGGTGGATTCTTTCTATGACAGATACTGTACCATACCTTCGTACCATATTTATTATTTTAATGGTCATGTCACAGTTTCGGTAACTGTATTCTGTATTCCAGAGGAGTGGAGGAGCAAAGTTCATCCTTTCTTGACAAAATGTGGCAGGTGATTTTTAGCTACAGTGAAGGGGTAACAGCCTTGTGGAGCTGAAGCGATTGTTTCTGTATTGTTTCAAATTACTGTTTTGTACACTTACAGGCCTAAGACTTGCTTCACATGGAATATATAGATTACATACAATATCAATATAAATTAGATGCAATTCATGTGTGGGACACATTCACAGGTGTCAAATTTACAGCTGCAAAGTTTCCCCGGTGATTCAGGAAAAATGTCAGTTTTAGTTTTTGAGCAGCCCTGTGGTGAGAAAGTGCTTGGTTTTTATTTTCGTCAGAGCCAATACAGTGAGAAATCTACTACAATCCAAAATCAGACCTATTTTCAGATATATTGACGGTAGCAATATTTTACATTACTAAGCTATTCAATATTTTAAACACATTAATTTCCTTACTATTTCTTGAATATGACCTCACACCTAATGGTATGTTTCATGATGACAGGCGTTTCTTAATTTCATAACTGTTAGATGCCATTTTTACAGGTGTGTAATTTTCATACTTTAGTGCTAAAACATAAAGTACTGATCCATATTTACTGGTGAAGCAAACTAATAAAAAAACTACCTATAAAGTTACATTCTCCCTCTTTTTTTTGCCAAACTAATTGTTTAGCACAAACATATTTATTCTGTTTTGCCTTCCACACCAATGATATGGTTTTCCCCAGATAGTATCTGATAATTCAGTTATTGTTTGGAGCATTTAAGCATACATCCTCATTGGCTCCCTTTTCCTTTGTATTTGGTCAGAGTTCAACAAAGTCCATCCCTGTTTAACAAAAGAAGTAAGCACGTACTTAACTCTCCTGAGAGTTAAGGCTAATTGTGTCCTTCATAGCTCTGCTGAATAGGGAGAGGTTACTGAATCTGTCTTGAAAATGAAATGTGTTATTTCAACCAGTCTGGTGTTTGGTAGACAGTTAAAGGCACTATCCCTTATATATGACATATTTTTCTTTACCTTTAAATTTCAGCTGCGCAAAGCATGCATTGCAATTTTTCAAGACTTGTCAAAATGCTACAGCGTGTTTTTCCTTTAAACGTAACGCTATTAATTTCTGCCGCCCATCCAGTCTTGCTGAAATAGAGCCATTTGGCAAGGCAAAACCCACTTCTTTTGTTGGAGGGGAGGGCAGGGAGGAAGCGTAGCTATGAGGAAGGAGCCCTGTGCGTTTTCACACGGAGGAAAGCTGAAAGTGAACTGTGTGAAATTCCGCGGAGTGGATGTTTGGGGTCAGAACCTCGTGAGGTGCAACCCGAAACGCGTGGCCTCGTCGAGAGCAGTGGAGCTATGCAAACTGGTATGTGCTGACATCTCGTCTTTTGTTTTAAATGAGGGAAAGGTTTCCTAATATGGATACACTTGGTTGACTAGGGCACCAAAGTATTTAAGAGTTCCTGGTTACCTTTTACTTACCAGTTTGTTTAATCCCTTGATAGGAGCGATCCAAATAACTGCTAACGCTGAACAGTGTAATGCAGCTGTGGTTTCTGTAAGGAAATCCCATGCCCAGCACCAGCAAAATGCGTTGAGAGAGTGCTTGGTGGTTTGCATCCCCGTTGCACTGGGACAAGCCAGCACCGGGGAGCGAGCCAGCGTAGCGCGTGGTAGGACATGAGACTGGCTCCCCAGGCGCGACACCCCAGAAACAAGGAGGAGTTAAGTTTTCAAGAACCGCTGTCTGCGAGGGCCGGCGTGCTCCAGCGCCAGAGGCAGCGGTGCCCCCGCCTCGCTAGAGTGATCCCGGCCCAGGCAGGGCCAGCGCGTAGCACAGAGGGCTTCTGCTCGATTTGATCCGTTTGGGCTGAAGTAGTGAAAGTTCCTGGGGAGCTGCAGGGAGAGGGAAAGAATTCAAACCCTGACGAGAGCGAAGGCGCTCAAAGATCACTGCAGGCGCTGAGAGAGTTTGCGTTTGTTCAGTCCTTTTAGCTGACTGCTTTTCGTTTCTGTGGCATGATGGAAGATAACTGTGCTTCATGACACGCTGCCTGAACAGCCTTGGTTTAATCCCGTCTCACAGTTTTTTAAAATCAATGAAAGGAGGCCGTGGGGTTGGACTTTGGTAGATGCTTTGGAAATCCATGCATACGCGTTGGCATTTTCCCACACCTGAAATACTTGCTCAGGGCTTAATTCATGGGGAAATAATTTACACTGATGTTCTATGACTTCTCCATGGATTTTTTCTTAAGGGGGATCAAGCTGAGTGTGAACAGTCAGATAGCCAATAGATAGTAGTAATGCATTAGGTTTGAAGTGGATGAAGCTAGGGATTGCTTGTGAAAGTGAGGATTAAGAGCGTGTAAGAGTCAGATCTATCCTGATGCAAGCAGCTGGCTTTCTGCTTTCTTACATGGCTTTGCACCTCTTCCCCTGGGGCTGAATGAGGCTGTCAGAAGGACTGAACGGGTATCGAGATCGGCGCTTGTAGAGCTCCACTGAGATGCTCTGGCGTGGCTGTCGAGCCAAAGTCAAGTCGCACGCTCGTGCGTCGCGGCAAGCTGGCACTTGCTTTTGCCACGCTAACCTCACACGTTGCAACCCCTGCTTGCCCCGTGGGCGGGATAGCTGTCAAGCATCAGAAGTTCTCAAGCAATGTGCAGGCCTGCAAATTAGGAGACCTTAAGTATGGTCCACAGCTATAAAATGTGGGGCTCGGCCCCAGCCCTGAGGAATAAGGAAATAATGGATTGAAGTGTGTGTGCATGTGTGTGTCTACATTGAGAAAATATTATTTTCCCATGTCTTGCTTGTGTACGCCACCAGCAGACCATGTGAAAGACGTTCGAGACGTCTCTGAGTTGAGCCCAAAATAATAACCAAGCTTTCCAAGAGGGAACGTTTGGGAAGCTGCTGTGTCTTCCGAACATCTAAATTGGTGACGTCGCTGCCAAATGCCCTAGTCCTACTCGTGTACGTGAGTAACCTGACATACGTAGGAGGGCCGGGGGAAGCCGGTAGGGCTGCTCGTGTGCGCAGGCTAGGCAGGCTGATGCTTGTGTCAGACCAAGGTCTAAATAACTTTCCTTTCAGCGCAGCATTTGTCTTTAGTATTTCACAGTGGCTGTTTCCAAATATGAATTTAGGAACAGAAAAAAAAAAAAAAAACCTAAATCCTTAAGCTACTGCTTGTGTGTGACTGTTTCTGTACCGTGGGTCTGTTCTAGGTTAGTGGAATCATTTACAGGAACTGCAGAATTTCAGTTGTTTTTCTGATTTCTGACTGCTTAAATTGTTTGAACCCAGAGTCACATACTGGAACATTAGGAGAATAATCTTTATGACGCAGCACAACTGCCTGCTTATTCATCCTTTTTTAAGCTGATATATTTTATTTAAAAGCTAAAATATCGATACCAATTTTACCAAAGATACATATTACTAATTCTCAGCAAAACAAAAACAACTTTAAAAAAAATTTAAATGTAGTTGTCTTAAAGATTTAGCAGTCTCTCAAATTCATGCCTTTTGACATCAAATTCTGTGTTCCAAACTTTATGTCAAATGATGCCAGTGAATTTTTATATGAAGGGAAAATGCCTATTTGTTAAGCCACTGCATTGCTTTTCTGCTTTTTTTTTTTTAAACAGAGCTGTAATTCAGCTGTTTAGTTACCCCTTTGCTCTTTGTTGCCATTCTAACAATGTGAACTACATTGGCTTTTCTTATCAGAGGAGAAAGCATGCAAAAATAGAGAAGGACCTGTAATGAAGAGATTTGGCCTCTACTTTGTCCTAGCTGTTAAACTGTTTTTAGAGTTTTTGTTAACTATTTGCAAAGGGAAGCATTTTCTACAGAGGATAATTAATTTCAAGAAAAATGTCTTGAGTTTTAAGAATAAACGTCTCCAAAAGAGGAGATAGTCAATTTTATACAATGTCACAACTCTCCAACATTTGGGGTAGTGACTTTTTTGTTTTGTTAGAGCATTTGAAACTAGCAAGCAGCCATTGTTTCTAAATACCTAAGCGTTCATGTGTACTCATATTTTCTTTTCCTTCATTTTTAAATAGCGAAATCATTAAAACTGTAAATATTTTGTTGCTTGGATAAGCATCTTCTGGGAACTTTGTATCTATGGTATATAATCATAGAATTTTATATTTTCATATAAAGCTAATTTTTTTCTAGTTTCACCTCCTTCCTAGTTCTGTGGTGGCGATGTGAATACATACCTTCTGTGTATCAAGATAGTGAGACACCATCAGCACACTCCAAAAAGATTTCCACACATGTCATTTCTTTGGGGCAGTGATTGTGAAAGTTGGATTTTCTTTGGATTCCATTGTCAGTGTGTGCAATAGGAATTAGACTTAGCCAGTCACTGGATACGTTTGTCTCATCGATCCGTTTGGAAAAAAAAAAAAGTGGTGTTTGGTTTTGGGACTGGGTGGGAGGGAGTATTTTGAGGGAGAATTTTTTTTGTTTGTTTTGTTTCGTTTTTTTTTTTTTTTGTTTGGGGTTTTTTTGTAACTTGAATCTTCTTTTTGTTATGTTTAAAACTATATCAAATCATTCTATTATAGTGTTATTTAATATGTAAATTGTATTGCTATACATAAAATAAAGTATGGTTTTTGATGTATTTACAGACTTCCTTCTTCTTTGCATCATATACGCATACAGAACAGATGCACAAGTCAGTATTTCATTGTCCCAGGCGTGCAGGAAGAAGGACAAGATCCAAGTCCTGCTTTAAATAGATCTCAAATTTTCCGAGCAAACCTCATCTGGGGACTGTCAGTCACTTGACAGTGCAGAGCACAATTCCTTTCTTCCTTGTCTCAACCTATTAGAAAGCTTCCAGTTAACCCCGTTTGCTCACCATGACTGGTCCCCCCACGTCCTTGTGACCCTGTCAAAATCCATTTGGGAAGGACGGTTGTCTCCGTCCAGAACAGGGCCTTGGAGCCTGAGCTCTGCTCCCAGCTCCGTTAGGAGTGCCATCCCTTAGACTGAATCCTGGTGTATCAGCAGATGTCTGCCTGGAGGAACAGGGCCTTTCACCAAGCCACTGTCACCTGATTATTTGCAATAACCTGCATCTACTCACTGTTCAACTAGCCCTGGAGCTGTGGTACAAAAGGCAAAAGCGCTCCTCTCCAGCTCAGCCAGGCTGGCAGGCAGGGACAGATGTTCCACCTCTCAAGATACGGCAGCCAGTACCCCCAGGGAGCGTATTTCGAAGTCGTACCTAGCTGCATCCTAGCCAAGAGCTGTCATCGAAACGCGTGTGCGCATTATGCAATCGATGCTCAGTGTTTTGCAACGAAAGCTTGGTGGCTCCACAGATTGCCTTCTGTGTTGATTCTGTGTTGATTGCACGTGTTACTTTCCTGTTGTTGTTGTTGTTGTTGCGGGAAAACCACTTGGGTTTACGGATACATTCTTATTTAGATCTGCCACCAGCAGTAATGCACTGAGGTGCATCTGCTGGCAGCGTGGGCACTGCAGCCTGGCTAGGCTGACGGCGCCTTCAAAAACAGTCCAGCAGGCAGCTGCCAGTGCAGTACCCCGGCAGTATGTATGTGACCACCCTGCCCACGGAGAAATCGCATCAGTAACTGAAATTGCTTGCTGACATAAAATAGTTGGCTAAAATCAGGATCGTATAACTGCCTTTTTTTGTGTGTTGCTGCGTTCTCACCTCTGAGGTCCCTGTTGTGGTTGACTGGGGGGCAGTGGGAGCCTGTGACATTGAGCGCAGGCAGGGAATGTGATTTGTGCAATGCCGCAGCACTAAGCAGCCGCGGTGTGCTGACTCCTGCAAATTCCCTGATGCCTAATGAAGGTACTGCCTCATGTTGCAGCGTGACAGTATATCCAGATAGCTGCCCAAAACTGCCCCACGGGCAGGCTCCACCGGCACGGTTGGCTGAGAAGGGTGTGTGGGAGAGCAGGGAGCTCCTTCTCTGCCGTGGGGCCTGCAGTGGGGGATGCTACAGCAGCAAAAGCTTGGTTCCCGCTGCACGTCTTTCAGTCCAGGATCAGGCTGCCTGGGCCACCCAACAGGGCAGGACAAGGGCTGAACAAAGAGAAATCACTGCTGACTCCCACTCGTGCTGGGCTGGCAGTTCAGCTGCAGCCTGGGCCAGCAGCCACGGGCACGCAGGAAGGATCCTCGGTCCCAGCGTGGCTGCCCCCGCACACGCAGGTAGGTGGGTTTGTGAGTCTTTGCAACAACAGCACAAATACAGCATCGGAAAAGAGCTGCTTAAATAAGGGTTGGTCAGAAAGTACCGGAAAAGCGTGGAGGACAGGAGAAAAGGCAAAGTTTGGGAACGCTCATAGATTCTGCGCTCGTGCTGTCACTCCTGGCTCACATCCATTGGAAACGCACCGTAAGTAGTTCATTAATACTTTGGCAACACAGATATGATATACCATCACTTCCCACTACTAACAATGTGCCTGAATTAATTGTTGGTATCGGGAGATCCCAACTTCTTCTGTAATAAATAGCTAATGAGTTTCGCCTTTAAAGCTTCCAGAGGCTGCTAGCAGTCATGTTAAGCAGGCACAAATAATAGCAGCATTTTTATTAAATGGATTAAAATGCCAGAAGGTGTACTTTCAAGACCTTTTGCAACATAATTTCAGTCAATGGTTTGGTCCCCGTCCTATGACTTAGCCACCTCAAGCTCCATGCACCGATGTGTCACCACCACCTGCTGGCAGTTGCCTTATTGATCACTTGTGGTTTCTGCTTCCCCTGCACTGCCAATCAATGTTTTTGATTGACGTTGTGATGCTTTAAGAAGCAGCACTTCATAAAGCAATCTTTCTCGACACTGTGTTCAATTAATCTGACAGTCGCTAGGCTTGCTTTTCTTGTCTAAAGTTATCTTATGTCTTGAAATCCTTCTTAGGACTTGATGCCTGCTTTGCTGGTGTTTTATTTTATGTTTTTGCGTTTTGAAAAGCTTCAGTGCTAGGTCTCTTACGGGAATGGTTTCCAGTATTTCACCATCTCTGCATCTGTGAGCTATCCATCTATGCTTCTTCTAAGGCTTGTAACTTCTGTCATATCCAATTCTAACCTTGTTGGTCTTACACTCAGGATATCTTGCATAATATCTAGTCATAAATACTTTGTTCATATATCAAGGGAGCTGTTGAAAGAGAGAGTGTCTGAGTCAACATTAGAAGAAAGCTGGAAAGTGTGTGTGTTTTGTCTTGGAAGGACAGCATTTCTGGCTGAAAGCCCAAGGCTTGGCGGAAGGGAAGGTGGCATAATCCTCTAGCTGCTTTTTTCTGCTGTTTTTATGATTTAAAATGATGCCCCAGCTGATGGATATGGGCTATCAGGCTCTGATTGCACAGGCTCCTATGCAATATAGGTGCTTTTCTGCACAGTTTAGGCTCTGTAGGTCCCAGTTTTCTCTGGGTTGAATATGGGATGAGGTCAGCATCCAGAGGTGAGCAGAAGAACTTAAAGCTTTTTGTGCGTGTGAATCTGGCCTAGGATGGCTACTTGTGGTACTGTTTCAGAAAACGTACTGCCACTCTGGACATAGGTACCATGCACATACTGAAGGCAACGTGCAGTCATGCTAGCTGATGTCAGCCGGCCATCACAAGCAAAACCTTGCGGGAACAAGTCACTAAGGTGACAGAGAAGACCTCCAAATAAAATCCAAACACTGTAAGAAATGTAGTATATAGGCTCTTGAAAAATATTTTCATGTCGTAATAGAGAAATTGTGGCTTCTCACCTATGGATCACAGAACCCATCATCCCTTCCTGCACAACGCAGTGCACAACCACCTGCCCCATCTCCATGTGCTATAATGGAGCATGCTTGTGATGGCTTCAGCAACTGCTTGGGTGGAAATAAGAGAAGGGATGTATTTCATATACATTAGCTGTTTTTTAAATAGCAGTGTCAGTAAAATCCAAGAAGAACTAGCAACATTTGACCAGTCCATTTTCTACTGACTTACCCTAATGCCTCAGTGGGCAACTGGCAGGCTATGGGGCATAGATGAAGAACTGATAATCTGATAGAGTAAGAAATCAGCATGCCAATATCACTTAGAATATCACTCGGTATATTTTGCCTCTCTCTGCAGAACTTCTGTTTATTTTAATCATATTCCAGTTAAATGCTATTGTTCTGCTTCTCTGTGCTGTGTTTGGGCTTCCCTGGCCTCCCCTCACAGGGTTCCTCCTCTCCACAGCTGTTACGGTACTATGAACAGCTAATACTGGCAAAATGAGCCCTGTTCCATCCCTCCTGTTGATACCACATGGTCACTTATGATGCTACAATGTGCTGTCATCCTTTGTCTGAGGTGCTTTCTTAAAACCGTCTCTTAGACAGGAAACACTAGTGACAATCACTATTAATTTTATAGAATGAGATTTAAGGAGAAAAAACCCAAACCCTATTTTAAATAATATTCTTTTGGCCTATGGCATAGCAAGTTCTGTAGTTCATCACTAGAGCTCTGAGATGCAGTGTGTAGTTTTTCTCTGCAAGAGGGAAGGAGTGTAATCCTCTTCAGTTCCTTGCTGAGAAGGAAAAACAAGGGGAGAGCTGACAAGCTTGACTGCAAGATAAAATGAGATTTTTAGCGTAGGATGAAAATGATGATCTCTTGAAGAAAACCTGGTTGTTTTCTCTCTGCCAAGAGGTTCCTACCCAGCGCACAAGACAGTGAGAGTGAGGGGGGTCCTGCCTGTGTTAGAGAAATGAGCAATTTTCTGTAACAAGGTGCTTATCAGGTTTCATCAGCAGGTGATCAAGAACAGAAAGTGATAGAAAAACAATACATTGAGGCCTTCATTATCTGCAGCTTGATGAGACCATCAGCATCATACAGCTTCTCCCTCCAGGATTTTTTTCCTAACAGGCTCAAACCATTATCTTTAAGGGTTTTTGGCTCAGAACTGTTGGACAACCTCTGAGCCCAATCCTTGGATCAACACCCTGGCTCTAGGCAGATGTTTTAACACAGGACACTGTGAATGGTGCACTGGCTGTAGAGCACCTCACTTGTGGCAGAACACCCTGTGTGTGAAGATGCCAGGGGTACAACTGTGACCAAAACAAGCTGCTGGCTATTGTAGCTGTAATATAGCAAGCTGTATAAAAAGAGACGACGTGGAAGAAAAGGGTTAAGCTATTTTTACTTCATCTAACACTTTACTTAGCTAGTGATGGAAAAGGCTGTCACAAGTTGTAACTGGCAGGAGGAACGTCCTTGGTTTTGCTTAATACTAGCCTTCCAAATGAAAAATACCATTAGTGGGGGGAAACAATCAGAAAGAAATTTAAAGTTCAGTAGCTTAGGTTATGGGAGGGCTCTGCTTTCTGAATTTTAGTGCTTTAAATAAGCTTCCTGATTACTTACTTAAATCCAATTTTCTCAATAAGCTCTTACTTTGAGCCTTAGACATATGTTGTGCCTTTGCCTGAAAGTCTCCTAGTGACCTGTAAAGTGATTGTAGCCTGTGAAATTGGCTATAAGTAAATCTTTGTTTTTTGTTTTTGTTTTTGTTTTTTTTAAATAAAAAAGGATGCAGGTGGATTATTTACTATCAGGCTACAGATTTTGTGTGTACTTCGAAAATGCTATTGA